CCCCAAGAAAAGGCCTTCAAGTAGGAAGAAGCTCAAAGCTCCAGAACTATGGAAGAAAAATATCAGAAAGGCAAAGCGCTGCAGAGGGGAAACCTATTTATCCTGTAGAGGGAAACGTGTAGAAGAAAACCACGGGCAAGATATCAATTGTGATAGGTGCCGTTTTTGGATGCTCCAAAACATAGATTTGCGAACAAGGCAGGCAATCTTTGAGAATTATTACTAACTACCATCCTATGAAAGGCAAAGAAGCTTTGTGTGTCAGATGGTGGATTCTGTGTCACCAGTAAGATCAAAGGGGAAGAAAACAACTTCTCGACAGTATCATTTTGTCTATGAGGGGAAGAAAATCTGTGTGTGCCGGGATTTTTTTCTTGCAACACTCAATATTTGGAGGAAGGTTGTGGATCATGAATTGAAAATGAAATAACATGGTGTGTTTACAGCCGAAGACAGAAGAGGTGTCACTGCATCTGGGAACAAAATTGACCTTGAAACAATTAACAACATAAATAATCTCCTTTCCACAAATGGAATCACACTATGCGCGGAAGGACACTGTGAAGAAATACCTCTCGCAGGACTTAAATATAAAGAAAATGTATATGCTTTACAAGCAAATATGTCAAGAATCAGGTTCAAACTATGTCAAAGAGAGCAAGTATAGGGAAATCTTCTGTACAGAATATAATATTTGATTCTTTAAACCGAAAAAGGATCAATGTTCAAAATGCAGTCTGTACGAGGCAAAGAAATTGGTTGGTACCATTGACAACGAAATTATCAGTAAGTATGAGGAACATCAGAAGGACAAGGTAGAAGCCAGAAATGAAAAGGAACGAGACAAAGCCGATGCCAAATTAAATAAAGCTCACTATGTGGCAACGTTTGACTAGCAAGCTGTTCTAAATACTCCATGCAGTCTTGTTGGGGTCCTGTATTATCCAAAAAATTGTCTGTCTATAACCTTTCCTTCTACTCTCTTGGGGACCAACAAGGAACATGTCACCTGTGAGATGAAACAAATGGAAAAAGAGGGGCCAACGAAATTGCCACATGCTTATTCAAAAACACCTCTTCCGTATGTCAATCGAAGAAAACTGTGAAGGAAGTGACATATATCTCGGACTCGTGTGGCGGGCAAAATCGAAACCAATTTGTTGCAGGCTCCTTGCTCTATGGCCTTCAAAAAGTTTACACAAATTAAATCACAAATTTCTGACATCAGGTCATTCTCAAATGGAATGGGATTTGATCCATTCGGCTGTTGAAACGGCTAAGAAAAGAACCCAGGTATTTGCACCTGTGCAATGGAGCACGGTGATTTCTCTGGCCAGAGGAGGTAAGAGATATATATTACCATTCCATTGAAATTCGGAGATGTTCTTGATTTCAAGGAATTTGTAAAAAGTTCCTATCCAAACATGAATATCTCGGTTGGAGGAGAGAGGATCAACTGGCTGAAGATCAAGTGGATTCAAGTCCGACGGGAAGCTGTGAACTCAATCTTTGTCAACTATGGTTTTCAGGAGGAGGACTTCCTGGAGATCAAGGTTATCCCAGGGATCTAGGAGGAAATGTCAAACAGCAGCGCAGCAAAAAGCTCCAACACCTGCTTACAATTCCAAGCTGTCAGTTTCTGTTGCAAAGAAGCAGGACTTGTTAACTCTGTGTGGAAAAGAAATTATCCCGACAGAGTTCCACCCTTACTATGAATCTCTACCAACATCAGCAACATCTGTTGATCGGCTTCCGGGACCTGCCAGCGATGAGGAGTGGGACGATTAGGACTATTAGTGACCATTATGTAGCAAGAGAGACTGATTATTTCAGTGATTGCCGAACACAATGTATTAAATCCCTAACAAATTTATGTAACATAGTCACTTTATGATTTCTGTAATAATATCACTTTGATATTCTGTATTATAAGAAATTCAAATAATATGTATCAAGTCAAACTGAATGGAAAGCATGTCATTTTAATCTCTGCAAAAATAGTTTAGTTCTGAATAAAAACTATCATCTCTTATTTTTTTTATGGTGTTAATATGGTAAATAGTTTTATCTTTATAAGCCTTGAAGGTCTGTTTTGTCATATTGTGCCCAATATTTTACATCTCAATGAATTGATGTATGATAACAACTGAGATATGTAATAGATAAAACAACAAATCACACATTTCCACCAAACAGATATAAGGTAACAAGTTACAGTTGACAATACAATATTATTTTCTGGACAAACATATTTCATTAACATCACCAGCAGCAGTTTGCTAAGTGTCAAATGTCCATATTAAATAGATATAGAGTCAAATGCTTAAGTAACAATGAATCTTTTGTCATTAGGTACTCCTTAAATCAAACTTTGTGGTACAAATGCTACGGACAACAAAGTACCAAGTGCCACTTGGCACATTGCAACACTATCTTTACTGTGAAATGTTCGTGCAGCAAAGAACCATGTGACACTTAGTACATTGCAACCCTATATTTACTGTAAAATGGTTCGTGCAGCAAAGAACCAAGTGCCACTTGGTACATTGCAACCCTGTAATGACTGTATATATGTTTGGGGCAGCAAGGTACCATGTGCCACTTGGTCCTTTGCAGCTCTGTAACTTACGTGAACATTGGTGAAATGTTGGGGCAGCAAGGTACCAAGTGCTACTTGGTACCTTGCTGTCCGGAATGTTTGAACAAATTCTCTTCATTCAAAAGGTACCATCTACAATAATTGATGTAATTAAGAAATTAAGGCTTCATTAGGAATGACATCAAAGCATTTGATACATGCACACCACCTCTATTGAACATGTATGTATTGGTTAAGCTAAGATATGCAGTGCAACAGATATGAGCATTGAAAACTTCAAATGCGATTTTCTCTCGATATGGAATGATGAAATGTGCACTTGGTACCTTGCTGCTCCAAACCCTCGACTCAAGTAGTAGTGGTGGTAGTAGTAGTAGTAGCAGTAGTAGTAGTCATGGTAGTAGTAGTAGTAGTAGCAGTGGTGGTAGTAGTAGTAGTGGTAGTAGTCATAGTAGTAGTAGTAGTAGTAGTAGTGGTGGTAGTGGTGGTAGTGCTCAGTGGTAGTAAGTGGTAGTAGCAGTGGTAGTGGTAGTAGTGGTAGAAGTAGTAGTAGTAGTAGTAGTGGTAGTGGTGGTAGTGGTGAGTAGTGGTAGTGGTGGTAGTAGTAGTAGTAGTAGTAGTAGTGGTAGTAGTCATAGTAGTAGTAGTCATGGTAGTAGTAGTGAGTAGTAGTAGTGGCAGTGTGGTAGTAGTAGTCATAGTAGTAGTAGTCATAGTAGTAGTAGTAGTAGTAGTAGTGGTAGTGGTGGTGAGAAGTACTCATAGTGAGTAGTAGTAGTAGTGGTGGTAGCAGTGGTAGTGGTGGTGAGAGTAGTAGTAGTGGTGGTAGTAGTAGTGGTAGTAGTAGTGGTGTAGTAGTGAGTGGTAGTAGTAGTAGTAGTAGTAGTAGTGGTAGTTAGTAGTCGTAGTAGAGTGGTACTCATTAGTACTAGTGGTGGTCCTGAGTAGTGGTGGTAGTGAGTAGTGGTAGCAGTGAGTAGTAGTAGTAGTAGTGGTGGTAGTAGTCATAGTAGTAGTAGAAGTCATAGTAGTAGTAGTAGTAGTAGTAGTGGTAGTAGTAGTAGTAGTCATAATAGTAGTAGTCATAGTAGTAGTAGTAGTAGTAGTAGTGGTAGTAGTGGTAGTAGTACTCATAGTAGTAGTAGTAGTGGTAGTAGCAGAAGTAGTAGTAGTAGTAGTAGTGGTAGAAGTAGTAGTAGTGGTAGTAGTACTCATAGTAGTAGTAGTAGTGGTAGTAGCAGTAGTAGTAGTAGTAGTAGTGGTAGAAGTAGTAGTAGTAGTAGTAGTAGTAGTAGTAGTAGTAGTAGTAATAGTGGTAGTAGCAGTCATAGTAGCAGTAGTAGTAGTGGTAGTAGTAGTAGTAGTAGTAGTAATGGTAGTAGTAGTCATAGTAGTAGTAGTAGTAGTAGCTGTAGTAGTGGTAGCCATATTAGTAGTAGTAGTACTGGTAGTAGTAGTAGTCATAGTAGTAGTAGTAGTAGTAGTAGAGGTAGTAGTAGTAGTAGTCATAGTAGTAGTAGCAGTAGTAGTGGTAGTAGTAGTAGTAGTAGTAGCGGTAGTAGACATGGTAGTCGTAGTAGTAGTAGTATACGTGGTAGTCGTAGAAGTAGTAGACGTCGTAGTCGTAGTAGGAGTGGTAGTAGTAGTCATAGTAGTAGTAGACGTGCTAGTCGTAGTAGTAGGAGTGGTAGTAGTGGAAGTCGTACTAGTAGCGGTAGTAGTAGTAGCAGCAGTAGTGGTAGTAGCAGTGGTAGTAGTGGTAGTAGTAGTAGTAGTGGTAGTAGTAGTAGTAGTGGTAGTAGTAGTAGTCATAGTAGTAGTAGTAGTAGTCGTAGTAGAAGTAGTAGTCGTGGTAGTACTAGTGGTGGTCGCAGTAGTAGTAGTAGTAGTAGTAGTAGTAGTAGTAGTAGTAGTAGTAGAAGTAGTAGTAGTCGTAGTAGAAGTAGTAGTCGTGGTAGTACAAGTGGTAGTGGTAGTAGTAGAAGTAGTAGTTGTAGTAGTAGTAGAAGAAGTAGTAGAAGTTGTAATAGTGGTAGTAGTGGTAGTAGTAGTAGTAGTAGTAGTACTAGTAGTAGTAGTAGTAGTAGTAATATGTGTTGTAGTAGTTGTTGTAGTAGTAAACAAACTATTGATGAAGGCTATTTTATTTATTTTCAAAAAGTAAATATCATGAAATCTTCACCAATGAAACACATGTATTCGATCCACTAATCCCCTGGTGCATGTAGAATCTACGGCAGCCCATTTGGACCATATTATTCTAAAATACATCTCTTATTGAAGACAGCAGGTTAAACATTGAAGCTGCCATTTCACCCGTGGGACCTATATTAAAGCATATCATCTTATATTTCATCATGGATATCATGAAGTTTCAAATGATTTTAAACTGTTTTCAACAACGTTTCTACAGGAAAAAACCCAACATTTTATGGCTCTGACAGTTTTCCGTAGGTCAGCCATTTAACAATCGGCACGTACCTGCTCGCTCTACAGTTGCCAACAACTCCTTCCTGTCCACAAGGCCGTCACCTGATAACATGAGAAAGAAGGGGTTCATATGTTTTTAATCAAAGGGAGGGACTCAATTTAATGTGAAATAGGATTAAAATGGTCACTTTGTTAAAATGTAGGTTGAACTGTTGTTTCAAATTACAAGAATAGGGTGCTTTTCGCAATCGTGATAGAATGGTGAAATTTGATTGGCTTTCTATTTTTAGTGTCAGGTCATTGGAAACGGGCTCAAAACGAGGTTATATTGGCAAATATCCCCCCGCATTCGGTTTCAAATGAAATTTAGACACTATCTGTTCGGTCTAACATTCTTCTAACACAGCACGTGTATTTCCTTTATAGGCCATGTGTATTTGTCAAAATAGTATGAGGATATACACCCTTGGATTATCGAGGATGTAGTATTGGAAATTATTAGAGTCTGCTGCTGTTTTCTCTTTGTCGGATGAAAAAGACACGAATCTCATGACTGTCAACATTACGGAGTACATTATATGTGTAGATTTCAGTCCTTTATATTTACGTTTGTTCATGGAGGTTTGCATGAATTCCTCCAGAAGTGGGTCATCCTCTTCAACGTCAAACACGGTAGAAACTTCACGTTTGCCCAGACCTCTGGATCTCAGTAAATCCCTCAGCAATTTGATGATGTCGGCCTGAACCGTATTGCAATGGCAGCGGTTGGTGTTGTGGGTTATCACCTGCACCCGCCGGCGCCGGCGACGTCGACGACGCCATCCTTCGCTTTCCTCCGGGGTGAGCATCAACACCAAAAGCAACAGGACCAGTGTCGGACGCAACATCATCATGCAAAAAAACTATTTCCACATTATTGATTGATGGATGAGCTGACTGACTGATTAAATCTCACAGATTGACTGAGTGACTGTTTACTCTGACTGACTCGGGCTGAATGACTCTAACTGACACACAAGGGGTAAGCCCTGTCTAGGCTCAACCGGAAGTTGGTCGTCATCAACTACCATTTCCCCGATAGACAGTCCATCCCAGTAGAGAGTGAGTCCCAAACTTCGTAAGATTTTGACTGACTCGCACTGACTGATTGACTTACTAACTCGGACGGACTGACTGACATACTAACTGGGACAGAGAAACTGATTTCCTAACTCGGATTGACTGACTGACTTACTAACTCGGCCTGACTGATTGACATACTAACTGGGACTGACGGATTGACTTAATAACTCGGAGTAACTGGTCGACTTACTAACTCGAACTAACTGGTTGACTTATTAACTCAGACTGACTAATTGACTTACTAACTCGGACTGGTTGACTTACTAACTCGGGCTGACTGGTTGACTTAATAACTCGGACTAACTGGCTGACTTACTAACTCGGACTAACTGGTTGACTTACTAACTCGGACTGGTTGACTTACTAACTCGGGCTGACTGGTTGACTTACTAACTCGGACTAACTGATGGATTAATAACTTGGACTAACTGGTTGACTTACTAACTCGGACTGACTGATTGACTTACTAACTCGGACTGACTGATTGACTTACTAACTCGGACTGACTGATTGACTTACTAACTCGGACTAAGTGGATGACTTACTAACTCGGACTAACTGGTTGACTTACTTACTCGGACTGACTCACTGACTTACTAACTCGGACAGACTGGTGGACTTACTAACTCGGACTAACTGGTTGACTTACTAACTCGTACTGACTGATTGACTTACTAACTCGGACTGACTGACATACTAACTCGGAATGACTGACTTACTAATTCGGCTAACTGGTTGACTTACTAACGCGGACTCACTGACTTACTAACTCGGACTGACTGGTTGACTTACTAACTCGGACTGACTGACTTACTAACTCGAACTGTAGTAACTCGGACTGACTGATTGACTTACTAACTCGGACTGACTGACTTACTAACTCGGACTAACTGGTTGACTTACTAATTCGGACTGACTGACTGACTTACTTACTCGGACTGACTCACTTACTAACTCGGACTGACTGGTTGCTTTACTAACTCGGACTGAGTGACTTACTAATTCGGACTAACTGGTTGACTTACTAACTCGGACTGACTGACTGACTTACTAATTCGGACTAACTGGTTGACTTACTAACTCGGACTGACTGACTTACTAACTAGGACTGACTCACTTACAAACTCGGACTGACTGACTTACTAACTCGGACTGACTGGTTGACTTACTAATTCGGACTAACTGATTGACATACTAACTCGGACTGACTGACTGACTTACTAACTCGGACTAACTGGTTGACTTACTAATTCGGACTGACTGACTGACTTACTAACTCGGACTGACTCACTTACTAACTCGGACTGACTGGTTGCTTTACTAACTCGGACTGAGTGACTTACTAATTCGGACTAATTGGTTGACTTACTAACTCGGACTGACTGACTGACTTACTAATTCGGACTAACTGGTTGACTTACTAACTCGGACTGACTGACTTACTAACTAGGACTGACTAATTTACAAACTCGGACTGATTGACTTCCTAACTCGGACTGACTGGTTGACTTACTAATTCGGACTGACTGACTGACTTACTAAAACGGACTAACTTGTTGACTTACTAATTCGGACTGACTGACTGACTTACTAACTCGGACTGACTCACTTACTAACTCGGACTAACTGGTTTACATGCTTACTCGGACTGACTGACTTACTAACTCGAACTGACTTGTTGACTTACTAACTCGGACTAACTGGCTGACTTACTAAATCGGAGTGAGTGACTTACTAATTCGGACTAACTGGTTGACTTATTAACTCGGACTAACTGGTTGACTTAGTAACTCGGACTGAGTGATTGACTTAGTAACTCGGACTGACTGGTTGACTTACTAACTAGGACTGACTGACTTACTAATTCGGACTGACTCATTGACTTAGTAACTCGGACTAACTGGTTGACTTACTAACTCGGACTGATTGGTTGACTTACTATTTCGGACTAACTGGTTGACTTACTAACTCGGATTTACTCACTTACTAACTCGAACTGACTGACTTACTAACTAGGACTGACTGGTTGACATACTAATTCGGACTGATTGACTGACTTACTAACTCGGACTGACTCACTTACTAACTCGGACTGACTGGTTTACTTACTAACTCGGACTGATTGACTTACTAATTCGGAGTAACTGGTTTACTTACTAACTCGGACTGACTGACTTACTAACTCGAACTGACTAACTGATTTACTAACTCGAACTGACTAACTGACTTACTAACTCGGACAATCTGGTTCACTTACTAACTCGAACTGACTGACTTACTAACTCGAAATGTAGTAACTCGAACTGACTGATTGACTTACTAAATGTGACTGACTGACTGACTAACGAACTCGAACTGACTGACTTACTACCTTGAACTGACTGGTTGACTTACTAACTCGGACTGACTGAATGACTTACTAACTCGGACTGACTGACTTACTAACTCGGACTAACTGGTTGACTTACTAATTCGGACTGACTGACTGACTTACTAATTCGGACTGACTCACTTACTAACTTGGACCGACTGGTTGCCTTACTAACTCGGACTGACTGACTTACTAATTCGGACTAACTGGTTGACTTACTAACTCGGACTGACTGACTTACTAACTAGGACTGACTAACTTACAACCTCGGACTGACTGACTTACTAACTAGGACTGACTGGTTGACTTACTAATTCGGACTGACTGATTGACATACTAACTCGGACTGACTGGTTTACTTGCTAACTCGGACTAACTGGTTTACATGCTAACTCGGACTGACTGACTTACTAACTCGAACTGACTGACTGACTTACTGATTCGGACTAACTGGTTGACTTACTAACTCGGACTGGCTGAGTAACTAACTCGAACTGACTTGTTGACTTACTAACTCGGACTAACTGGTTGACTTACTAACTCGGAGGGAGTGACTTACTAATTCGGACTAACTGGTTGACTTATTAACTCGGACTAACTGGTTGACTTAGTAACTCGGACTGAGTGATTGACTTACTAACTCGGAGTGACTGGTTGACTTACTAACTCGGACTGACTGACTTACTAATTCGGACTAACTGATTGACTGACTAACTCGGACTGACTGACTGACTTACTAATTCGGACTAACTGGTTGACTTACTAACTCGGACTGGCTGAGTAACTAACTCGAACTGACTTGTTGACTTACTAACTCGGACTAACTGGTTGACTTACTAACTCGGAGGGAGTGACTTACTAATTCGGACTAACTGGTTGACTTATTAACTCAGACTAACTGGTTGACTTACTAACTCGGACTGATTGGTTGACTTACTATTTCGGACTAACTGGTTGACTTACTAACTCGGATTTACTCACTTACTAACTCGGACCGATTGACTTACTAATTCGGAGTAACTGGTTTACTTACTAACTCGGACAGACTGACTTACTAACTCGAACTGACTAGCTGATTTACTAACTCGAACTGACTAACTGACTTACTAACTCGGACAATCTGTTTGACTTACTAACTCGGACTGACTGACTTACTAACGCGAACTGTAGTAACTCGAACTGACTGATTGACTTACTAACTGTGACTGACTGACTTACGAACTCGAACAGACTGACTTACTACCTTGAACTGACTGGTTGACTTACTAACTCGGACAGACTGAATGACTTACTAACGCGAACTGACTGACTTACTAATTCGAACTGACTGGTTGACTTATTAATTCGGACTGACTGACTGACTTACTAACTCGGACTGACTCACTTACTAACTTGGACCGACTGGCTGCCTTACTAACTCGGACTGAGTGATTTACTGATTCAGACTAACTGGTTTACTTACTAACTCGGACTGACTTACTGACCTACTAATTCGGACTAACTGGTTGACTTACTAACTCGGACTGACTGACTTACTAACTAGGACTGACTAACTTACAAACTCGGACTGACTGACTTACTAACTCGGACTGACTAGTTGACTTACTAATTCGGACTGACTGATTGACATACTAACTCGGACTGACTGACATACTAACTCGGACTAACTGGTTGACTTACTAATTCGGACTGACTGACTGACTTACTAACTCGGACTGACACACTTACTAACTCGGACTGACTGGTTGCTTTACTAACTCGGACTGAGTGACTTACTAATTCGGACTAACTGGTTGACTTACTAACTCGGACTGACTGACTGACTTACTAATTCGGACTAACTGGTTGACTTACTAACTCGGACTGACTGACTTACTAACTAGGACTGACTAACTTACAAACTCGGACTGACTGACTTCCTAACTCGGACTGACTGGTTGACTTACTAATTCGGACTGACTGACTGACTTACTAACTCGGACTAACTGGTTGACTTACTAATTCGGACTGACTGACTGACTTACTAACTCGGACTGACTCACTTACTAACTCGGACTGACTGGTTGCTTTACTAACTCGGACTGAGTGACTTACTAATTCGGACTAACTGGTTGACTTACTAACTCGGACTGACTGACTGACTTACTAATTCGGACTAACTGGTTGACTTACTAATTCGGACTGACTGACTTACTAACTCGGACTGACTGGTTGACTTACTAATTCGGAGTGACTGATTGACATACTAACTCGGACTGACTGGTTTACTTACTAACTCGGACTAACTGGTTTACATGCTTACTCGGACTGACTGACTTACTAACTCGAACTGACTTGTTGACTTACTAACTCGGACTAACTGGCTGACTTACTAAATCGGAGTGAGTGACTTACTAATTCGGACTAACTGGTTGACTTATTAACTCGGACTAACTGG